TGGCACCATGCACGGGGAATCTCTCACATTCTCAGCATGGCTTTTCCCAGGACAGTGGGAATAAGCATCCTTCCCTGCTGTGGGCCTGTAGATGAACAGAGGTTTGGGACAGGGCCTGTCTGGCGCTTGTAAATGTTATGTGTTGTTTAGCTACATGGCACAAAACACCATCAAAAATCTCCATTTCGCTACATTAGTCGCATGTAAAAATACATGCTGATGTCTTTTTATTGTGGCAGATTTTATAGCAGTAGCTGATGCAGGTAGGCTGAGGAATACTTTTGACTGAGGCGAAACCTCTCCTTAAACAGCTGACATTGCTGGTGGCGTTTGCGCCGTGGGCTCTGATCCAAGCCCACCCCTTCCAATCCTGTCCCTGCAGACAAGGTGCGGGAGAAAATCAACCGTGTCATAGGGCGGACCCACAGCCCAGTCATGAGCGACCGAGGCCGGATGCCGTACACCAATGCCGTGATCCACGAGATCCAGAGATTCGCTAACGTCACCCCTGTGGGGATTCTGCACAAAGTGACCTGCGACACCCACTTCTGGGGGTACCTTCCCCCCCAAGGTGCTGTCTTGAGGGTCCACCAACAATTTTCCACCGAGGCATCACACTCTTCCCATACCGAGCACTGGGCTCTGGGGTGGAGGCTGCTTACATTCAAGAAGGAACAGGCCCAGACCAAGAACTTCCTAGATAGCCAGGTCGAGTGGAGTAAACTGAATACTTGCAGGGCACTCCACTGGCATGCATGGGCCCTCTGCCATAAAGAGGGGCACTGAGGGGACTTTCTACTTCGCCCAAGATACTTCTCAGCTCTGTACCCAGTGGTAGATTGAACGTGCTCAGCCTGAGACATTGGGAAACTGTTGACTCTAGGTGGAACTATTTCCCCACAATTCCCAGCTGCAGGAGACTATCTACTGGCAGAGGCTCCAGTTGGAAAGGGTTTAATATTTCTGTTTCTCTTCTCCAGGACACAGACGTTTGGGCTGTCTTGGGCATGGTTCTCCAAGATCCCAAACACTTCAAGGATCCAGGAAACTTCCACCCAGAGCGTTTCCTGGATGAGGAAGGCCGCTTCAAGAAGAACGATGCCTTCCTGCCGTTTTCCACAGGTATGGGTGACAGTCCTGGCCTTTCCCATCAATGGCAGCAAAAACCTCTTCAGGCTTAAACACAGTGAGCACCGATGGGCCTGTATTCACTCTGCCATCACACCTGAAACCCATCCAGGTCACATCATGTTCAGACCCGGAGGTCCTCCTCTGCCTCTCAGCACGTGGCTCCTCCTGTAGGAGGGCCAGACCCAGGGTCTCTCTCAGGCCCCTTCTCCAGAGTTCATAGGATCGTAGGAAAAGAGGGTTGGAAGGCCCCTCATGAGTTCATCCCAAATTGGCTGTTGGTCCAGGGAGTCCATAGGTCTGTAACTGTAGGTCATGAGGCCAAATCAGAGGGAGATGAGAACAGTATCCATCCTTTCATCCATCGGCACCCAGAGACCTTCCCAGGAGTATAGCTCACCCAGGTCTCATCATGAAATCCTTGATGACCAGAGTGCTTTCATTCACTGCTGGCTTTACTTATCCCTGCAGGCAAAAGGGAGTGTCTGGGTAAGAGCCTGGCCCTCATGGAGATCTTCCTCATGCTAACCACCGCCCTGCAGCACTGCACCCTGAAATGGCTGAAACTCCAACAACAAATTGACCTCACCCCCAGAGAGACTGAGATTGGGATTGGGATTGTTCCTCCCAGCTATGAGCTCTGCACCCTCCCGTGGGAGGAAGGGTGGCAGGACACAGCCTAGGAGAGCATGGACAGGTTGAAGGACATCCTAACCTAAGGCAGCACATGGACACATCACAGAGAAAGACTTGACACAAAGCCTTACCTTTAGGAGTTGCTTCTGCCCCTTTCCTGGCTCTTGTACTCACGGTGTTTTTCTTGCGTCTTTTTATGTCTCCGTATTGCAAAAATAGCAGCGAGCATGTGGTGGTAAAAGACAGGGGTCCTGGGGGACGAACACAGGGCTTGTGGCAGGAGTGCAAGGAGCTGGGTGTGTGTGTGTCAGACAGACAGGCTGCAATGAACTGGACATGTGAGGGTGTGTGTATGTACTGGACAAGGGGCGTGTCTCTACGTGTGCGAGCATGTCAAACTGCAATGACCTGGACACAGTGCATGCGTGCCTAAGTGGAGGGACACTCCCTACCTCAATTTTCCCACCCGGCAGTCTCCCTCCTGCTGGCTCCCATGGGCTGCCCAGCCCTTGCATGGAGCACAGGGAGTTCCTGGGCACTGGGTGCAGTGGGAACGGGGAGTTCAGCCAGATCTACCCAGGACTGGGCCCATGCTCAGTGGAAAGGGGCATTGGGAGCTGTGGACTGCAGGGCACGGCCTCAGTGTTGCAGTGTCCTGGACCCTCGATGGCCGCAAGGGGAAGAGGAATTGGGGAAAACCCTGCTTAGACCCCATCACTCTCCCTCCCAGTTCCTCTCTGCCACAGGGAGACTGGGCAGGACAAACCCAGGGTCTGAGACATGCCAGGGCAGCTCCTCACTGCACCCCCCACTGGCACCGCTCTACTGTCCAGGCACTTTGCACCATGTTCTCCTCCTGGGCTTTTCCACCATCTCTGCACCAAGCTAGCCGTGGCTAGCAGTCAGACTCTCCTGCAGATCCCTGGCCTCCCAGCTCTGGGCTGCAGGAAGGCCAAGAGGGCTTAAGACCCAGAGGGCCGGTGGGACAGGGGTCTTGGGTCAGGACCCTGACTCAATTTATGCTCTCATTGGTTGTGTAGATGCTTCATTCCCCCTGCAACACCTGAGGACAGACAGGAGAGTATAGGCAGCAAGGGTCTAAGCCACGTGCCTTCCTTGGGAGCAAGGTGGAAGGCAGGCCAAACACCTGAACCGCCCAGCGAGCTGGCAAGGAGTGCCCAGCTTAGGGCTGCAGTTGACATTACATGGGCATCGGCTCAAAGCAGGGACCAGACCCTGGATGACTACACCCGCCCCCTCCTCACCTTCATGGCTTAGAATGAGCCCACTCTGGGACTGGGTCTGCACAGAAGCCCCAAATCCACCAGTCCTAGCCCAGAGGGTGTCTGTCGGGGGAGTTGTTCCTAGAGAAGAGATGCTGTGAACTTGCTGCTCTGCAGCCTTTCCCAGCTGCACCCACTCACCACTTCCAAGATGCCTCAAATCCAGGTTAGGAGCATCCACATGAGTAGCTCTTCCATAGCCATGCAAGGCCAGGCACAGCTTGGGCTTCTACTCCACATCCAACATATCCAATGTGGCAGCGATGCAGATTGATGGGGTGAGTGCTCAGGTCTTGCTAAGGGTGGGCCCAGTTGGAGAGCTTTGTCCCGGAGCTGGAGTACAGAGTGACATGGTTCACATGCTCCCATCCTGTTTGGGTGCCAACGCATGGATGGATAGGCCAAGGCACCTTTGACCTGAGAAGTAATGCCATCCCCACTGCCAACCCAGGAGACAGCGATGTCGTTGTCTGAGGGTTGGTGTAGCTGAGTCCCCAATGACATCTGAACTCTGGGGGTGCTTGTACACGATGTGTACATGATGTGCCACTACCCCATGGAGGAGTGGCTCTCAACCTTTCTGGTACCAGGACTCATTCGTAAACCTGGATAGCCAATCCTGACCCAGAAAGCATTTTCATTAGAAAACAGCCCCCCAGCCCTGCTGCTGTCCCTCACTCCAAACCCCCAGCCCCCCACCCCCCCAGGTGCCCCTTGCTTCTGAACTGCTGCCCCCAGGCCTCAGCACCCCAGTGTGTGGAGCAGGGGGTGGGTGTGTGGGGTGGGGGAAGAGGTGTAGGGGGTAGGGGCATGTGCCCCCCACCCCCCGGTTTGTGTACCCACAGCAGGCATGGGGCTGCAGCCTGGCTGGACTGGCACAGGCAGGAGCCACCCCTGTGGCCCTGTGGGAAGGACTTGGTGCAGGAGGGCAGAGTGGGGTGGCAAGACTCATTGCTGCTGCTGCCAGAACCCCTGTGCCAGCCACGCTGCCAGGAGTGTGAGAAGTAACAGAAGGGGGGTGGGGGGGGGTTGCTGCCCCAATTTGTGCTGCCACCAGCCTCTTATGTGTCATGCCACAAGTCTACTCTGCCTCCATAGCCCGGCCACCGCTCCTCTCAGGCCACAACTCTACCCCAGAGAGGAGGTGGGGTGGCAGGCAGTGTCACCTGTGCCCCCTGCCCCTCTGACATGTCTTCCATGCCCCCCCTCACACCATAGGCTTAGCTGTGGGAGCTGCTGTCCATGCTTCCTGGCTGCCACATGCATGTGTATGTGGCACTTTCTGCCCGATTGTCCTCCTCCTGCTCCCCCCCAGCCCCCAGTCCCAGCTGTACATCATGGGGGTCGCCACCCCTCACCCTCCTCCACACCCCAAACATCCAAGACCCCTCCACAACCCACAAGCCCAAGACCCTGTGCACGGCCCCCCACATATACATACACCCACAACCCCCCACGTATACACACCCCCACAACCCCAACATACCCTACACCCCCACACACATAGCCGCACCCCACACAAGCCCCCCACACCCCTCCACCCACATACCACCCCCCTATACAAAACGAAGACTATTTTTGAAGTATGATGCACACTACACAAACACAAATCAGGACAAAAGTATTTTTTGAAATAAAATTAAAAGAGATTACAAGAGATGTTTGACTTTCAGTATATGATTTGGTTTTTTTCCGTTCCAAAGACACAACACTCTTCCCCCCCTCTGCCTTGCCCCAGAAGTATTTCCAGGGGTGGGACTTCTGGTCCCAAGATGAGGCACTTGTCAAGGGGCGGGGCTACCGCTGCAGCCCCCGACAGCTCACCATAGCGCGTTAGGCGGCCCTCCCACTGAAATAATTGCCCACCCTTGATATATACGCACACACAAGCACAAGGTAGATCAGATCAGACGCCTCTTAGCACTGTGCTCGGTCTCCCGGCAGATTGGCATGATGGAGGTTGGAGACACAGTGACTCTCCTCTTGGTAGCCTGCGCTGCCGGCCTGATGATCTTCTGGCAGCAAAAGCAGCGGCAGAAACCGGGCAAGCTCCCCCCAGGGCCGACATTGCTGCAGATCCTGGGCTATGGGCTGCAGCTGAAGCAGCGAGGCTTAAACAAGTTGCTGACAAAGGTGAGTCAGGTTTCATTGCATGGGTCCTGGCTGAACCAGGAGTGCTTCTAGTTCCTGCCCTGGGCTCTTACCCATTTCTGAATCAACCCACACAGCTCTCTGGGGAGCTGAAGAATTTGGTCTCAATTTCAAGGAGGAAAAAAATGGAGGTGAAGGGTGGGGGTAGGGAGGACTCTCATGCCTGTGTACCCACATAGTTTGGGCCCCAAGACCTTACCACTGGGCCACAGCCTTTTTCCCAGCTAGTTCTGGAACCCAGGAGTCCTGACTCAATTGCCCTTGCTTAAGTCAGCGGCATTATGTTGAACTCACCCAGCTCAGGCTGTGCCCACACTCACTTTGCCTGCCTGGGCTGAGTGCGCCTTGCCGGTCACTGCAGTATCTGACTCTTCTTCCTTCCCATTCACGCTGACTCCCAATGCAGATAAGAGAAAAGCATGGCCCTGTGTTCACCGTGAACACTGGCCGGCGGCAGATCGTGTTTCTCTGCGACTTAGACTCCGTGAGGGAAGCCCTGGTGCATCAAGGGCAGAAGTTCAGCGGCAGAGCAATTTTCAACTCGATAGACAGATACTTCCAAGGTCATGGTGAGAGCAAGATCAAAACCTACCTATAAGCCATGTCACTGTTACTCATAGGAGGACCTCCAGGCACACAGCTATGATCCTGTATGCCACAGCACTGCACTTGGGGATCATTCTTAGTGCATGATCCACCGTGACACAGACGTTATGACTCTCATGACTTCTTGATGCTATCATGTGTTCTTTGAAGTTATTAACATATGCTCTGTGAATGATCCCAGGGTATGCAGTCATCCAGACATTTCCATAGAACAGACCTGACCTTACTGTTCTGGTCCACTCTAATTTTGATCTTCCCCAAGAACGTCAGATAATGGACTTGGTGTGGGCTCATGACCAGGACCTCCGGAGGGCTCTGAGGTTTCCCATCTTCATCACTTGGTGTGGGTGGTGTGGTGGTGTGGGTGGTGGGTGGAAGAGACCGAGATCCTTTGTGTCAGAGTTCACCTGGACAGCAGCTGCTGACAGATCAGAGGCATCTTGGAATCAGGGACCAGTGTTGCCAAAAGGGTCCACAGACTTTTGCGGGGAGTCGAGAAAACTTGATCCAGGCCTTCAAAAGGTGGAAAATGGGAGCAGTGGAGCTCAGGCTGTAAAGTCTTGGCCCCCAAATGACTGGACCTCTCTCATTTTGGGAGAGAGTCGATCAAGGACAGGCAAAGGAAGAACCCACCCACTTCATGGCAACAGAGTAAATAAGTAAGAAAATGAACCTTAAACTTACCAAGGAACATTAATTTGGTTTCAACATCCACTTAAATTACTAAATGGGGGCCAGGTTTGGAGACAGTGATGTAGGTAAGCAACTTTTTTGATTTGCTCTTAGAAATGATATTTGGTATCCAGGGAGAGAGATTCCCAGTGGAAAAGGAAGGTGCTTTCTCAAGTCCACTTGATTTCCAAATTCAGAAGGGGATCACTCAATATCCATTTTGTTCTTTAAATTATGGTTCCTTGTACTGGATATCACGTGACTTGCTTTGCTACACGCCTCCCTCCATCCAGGTGTTGGCACGGCCAATGGGGAAGAGTGGAAGCAGCTCCGGCATTTCTCCACCTCAACCCTGAGGAATTTTGGGATGGGGAAAAGAAGCATTGAGGAGAGGGTTGGAGAGGAAGCCCGGCACCTGGCGGAGGAGATCGGGAAAGCCGAAGGTTGGTGTCTTTTGTGGTACAAGAAATGCCTTCCGTACCAGTGTGCGGGTTTTCATGAACTCAGACAGTTCTGTTCTCTTTCTGGTTAATGGACATCAACAGTAAAACCTCTGAGGGACTAGTTTTCAAAGAGCTCCATTCCCACCTCAGGGCCTCAAGCAAGACTCTAGGCCAGTGGTTTTCAGGCTGCGGTGCGCGGAGATGTCTTGGGTTCTGCAGACTATGTCTAAGGGGTCTCTGAAGGATGACTATACTCAATGCAAAGTATGTGGATACTCACAGTTACAATTCAAAGGGGTCCACACATCCATTTGACATTCTTAGGGGTCCAAAAATGAAAAAAGGTTGAAAACCACTGCTCTACGCTCGTCCAGGTCCACAGAGCCCAGCACCGCCAGGGGAGTTCTCCCCTGGCCTCATAAGGGCATCCTGGAAACGCCACGTTCTTCTCAAATTCCAGACCAGCCACCCAGCACTGCTGGGCCCTGGTCCTTGAGGAGCTTCTTGCCTTGGGTAACTTATTCCAGAAGCTCACATCTCTCTTTCTGAGAACACAACTCTAGCGAACTCCCCGCAACACAGGGAGACGTCCCCAAGTCTCAGGTGTGCCAAACTGCTGCAGGTAGGATGGGGTTCTGTGCTAGATCACCACTTACATATTACCCTCTGGCATCTTTGCAGCCGCTGCCAAGGTCCCTATTGCAGCACCCATGATGGCGAGCTGCATCTGGGCCAGCTAATTAAACCCCAGCCTGCGTACAACCGCAGAAGCTTTGAGGTCACACCCTCACCCCAGACTTTGGGGGACTCTCATTGTTAACACTTATCCCCGAGGTGTCAGGACTCTCCACAACTTGTTACTCCAAAAATTGGAAGGAAGGTGGTCATTGATCTTCTCGTCTCCCCACAACCAGGTTCTCCCTTCGACCCCACCCTCATCGTCACACATGCAGTATCTAACGTCATCTGCTCCATTGTCTTTGGAAACCAATTTGACTACAAGGACCAGAAGTTCCTGACCTTGATGAATGCCACCCACAACTTTTTAGAGGATATAAGCAGCATCTGGAGTTTGGTAGGAGACCAATGTGGAGCAGCAGGAGGGTCAGGGGCTCTGCAACATGTTCCAGTCTTTGTTGATGGGGTAAAGTTGCTCCATTGCATCCACAGTACAGGAAGCCCATATCCCCATCGTCAGCTGGGCCTTCGGGGCTCCAGCATGCGGAGAGCCCATCACTCCCATTCTGGATGTTCCTCTTCACTACATGAGACCAGGAGGGGGCTGACACAATAGCCCCTGGATCCCTAACCCTTGCATGTTCTGCCTTCTAAGGGAGGCCCCATCTTCTTCTGCCAAACTCAATGAATATGGCCCCTGAATTGATCTTTCCCAACATACACAGTGCCATTGGGGCATATCAGGGAACTAACACCTATCTTCTGGACACATGCAGCACACAATCCTCAGGGCATAAGTAATGGTTAGATATAAGAAAGCAGGTGAGGAATGATGAGTGAAGCCCTGGAGCTTTCTGCTCCACTGAACTCTCTTGCTTCTTGACAGAGGGCTATAAGCTGGATACGAGTCACCAGTAAGCCCTTGTTGCCATTCTTGGCTAATGACATCCTGGGCTGTATTATTAAAAATATTGCCAGCAGGTCGAGGGCAGTGATTCTTCCCCTCTATTCAGCGCTGAGGAGGCCACATCTGGAGTCCTGTGTCTAGCTTTGGGCCCCCACTCCAGAAAGGATTTGGACAGATTGGAGAGAGTCCAGTGGAGGCCAGTGAAAATGGTTGAGGGGCTGGGGGACAGGACTGGTGAGGAGAGGAGGACGGAACTGGGCTGATTTAGTCTGGAAAAGAGAAGGCCAATGGGGATTGAATAGCAGCCTTCACCTCCCCCCAGCTGGGCTGTTATCACTGCTAGCAGATGAGAAAACAACAAGTAATGATTTCAAGCTGCAGCGAGAGAAGTTGAGGTTAGATATTAGGCAAATTCTCTCACTAGGAGCATAGTAAAGCACTGGAACAGGCTGCACAGAGAGGTTGCAGACTCGCCATCACTGGAGGTTTTGAAGTCCCAGGTAGACAAAGCCCTGGCTGGGATGATGTAGTTGGGGCTGGTCCTGCTTGGAGCAGGGGGTTGCACTAGATGTGACCTCCTGAGGTTCCCTCAACCCCCGTTTTATATGATTCCTCATCCCCAGTTCTGCGAGGTGTTTCCAAGGATCATGCAGTACGTACCCAGCCCACACAGCCAGCTTTATCACCACTACAAGGCAATACATGATTTCATCATGGAGAGGGTGAGGATGAACCAGCAGAGCCTGGACCCCAGCTGCCCTCGGGACTTCATTGACTCCTTCCTCATCAGGATGGAGGAGGTAAGCGGAAGGGGATCAGTGCTGCAGCTATGTGTTACAACAGAACATAATACTTTCCTTGGGCATTCACCCATGACTGAGCTACAAAGCAGCAGGCTGGGAATTCAGAGCTAGGGTCCCTGGCAGAAGCAGACCCAATAAAACCTCCTCTTAGGACAGTCAGTCACCCAAATCCGGGGCAACAGAGGCATTCTTTGTTGAGGGGCCAAATCCAGGTGTAAACCAGATGCCAGGCAGGCATGGTGTGCTAGCACTCCTTTCTACTCTCTACTTTCCAGGAAAAGCAAAACCCACAGAGTGTTTTTAAAACCAGAAACCTGGTGGAGACAGCAATCCAGGTATTCCTTGCTGGGACGGAGACAACGAGCTCCACCTTGAGCTATGGATTCCTGCTCTTGGTGAAATACCCAGAGGTCCAAGGTAATGTGGACATGAAATGAAGCTAATGTGCCTATGGGAACTGCTATTTCAATGGAGATTGGTTGCCAGTTCAGTTATCACCTGGTCACCAGGGAACAGGAGATTTGCACACACGGGTCCAACTGCACAGACCAGAGGTACTGGGCACAGCCCCACTTCTGCCTCCCCTCTCCAGAGTCCCATTTAGGTTGCCAGTGGCTAGCGAGGCAGTGATTAGCTTTATATTTCAGGGAGGCTGGAGCTGGTGCTGCATTGCAAAACCTGCACAGAGAGCAGTTATCCATGGAGAGCAATGGTGATGATTAGACTGGGGTGGAACATCAAGGCTCTGCATCTCACTGCCAGCTCCTCTCAAGATGCCTTGTGCAACCCGTCATCAGACACAGGGGATGTCTTACATTCTCAGCATGGCTTTTCCCAGGACAGTGGGAATAAGCATCCTTCCCTGCTGGGTGCCTGTAGATCAGGGGTAGGCAACGTTTTTGGCTGGAGTGCCGAAAAAAACACAACGTCTACCTTGGAAGGTGCTGGAGTGCCGACACGCTGGAGCCCGGCTGCAGCGAGCCTACGGAGCCCGATCTGCTTGCAGCAGGGCTTGCAGCCTCCCAGCCGCCTGCTGGGAGCAGCCTGGGCTCCGGGGCTGGCAGCAGCTGCTTAGAGCCCGGGCTGGTGGTGGTGTACCAAGCAAAATGGCCTTGCGTGCCATGCTTGGCACGCGTGCCAGGGTTGCTGACCCCTGCTGTAGATGAACAGAGGTTTGGGACAGGGACTGTCCATTACTGCGTGTGAAAAGCTGGGAGGCCGAGAGCAGCAGAGAAAGAGACAGAGCGGGGAGCAAAGGTGGGCACCTCTGGAAGTGGAAGTAGCCGATGCAGGTAGACTGAGGAATCATTTTGACTGAGGCTGAGCCTGGCCTTAGATAGCTGACATCACTGGTGGCCAGTGGTGACGCGTTGGGGGAGCATGGGGGGTGCACATGCACCCCTTGAGATCACCAGTGCTCCCCCTGATTGGCTGTGCTCGCCACTTAGGCAATGGGCAGAGGGAGCAGGCAGGAGAGCAAGCGCCAGCCAAACGCTGAGATTGCTGCAGCTGCTTCCAGGAGGGGCTGTGGCTGCTTCTGGGAGTGGCTGCAGCGATTGGCTGGTGCTTGCTCCCAGAAGCGGCTGCAGCAATTGCAGCCTCCCCACCCCAGGCAGCAGGATTGCCCGCAGGGGACTCCCCCAGTTGGTGGGACTCATCGCGGGAGGCACATGCCCCCCCTGACTAAGGCGGCACCAGCCACCCATGCTGGTGGCATTTGTGCCGTGGGCTCTGATCCCCCCCCTTCCAATCCTGTCCCTGCAGACAAGGTGCATGAGGAAGTCGACCGCGTCATAGGGCGGACCCACAGCCCAGCCATGAGCGACCGAGGCCGGATGCCGTACACCAATGCCGTGATCCACGAGATCCAGAGATTCGCTAACGTCACCCCTGTGGGGCTTCCGCACAGAGTGACCTGCGACACCCACTTCCGGGGGTACTTTCTCCCCAAGGTGCTGTCTTGAGGGTCCACCAACAATTTTCAACCCAGGCATCACACTCTTCCCATACCGAGCACTGGGCTCTGGGGTGGAGGCTGCTTACATTCAAGAAGGAACAAGCCCAGACTGGGAGCTTCCTAGATAGCCAGGTCGAGTGGAGTAAACTGAATACTTGCAGGGCACTCCACTGGCATGAGTGGGCCCTCTGCCATAGTGAAGGGCACTGAGGGGCCTCTCTACTTTTCCCAAGATACTTCTCAGCTCTGTACCCAGTGGTAGATTGAACGTGCTCAGCCTGAGACATTGGGAAACTGTTGACTCTAGGTGGAACTATTTCCCCACAATTCCCAGCTGCAGGAGACTATCTACTGGCAGAGGCTCCAGTTGGAAAGGGTTTAATATTTCTGTTTCTCTTCTCCAGGACACAGACGTTTGGGCTGTCTTGGGCATGGTTCTCCAAGATCCCAAACACTTCAAGGATCCAGGAAACTTCCACCCAGAGCGTTTCCTGGATGAGGAAGGCCGCTTCAAGAAGAACGATGCCTTCCTGCCGTTTTCCACAGGTATGAGTCAAAGTCCTGACTCTGTAAAGCAGCAGCCCAGCCTTTCCCATCAATGGCAGCAAAAACCTCTTCAGGCTTAAACACAGTGAGCACCAATGGGCCTGTATTCACTCTGCCATCACACCTGAAACCCATCCAGGTCACATCATGTTCAGACCCGGAGGTCCTCCTCTGCCTCTCAGCACGTGGCTCTTCCTGTAGGAGGGCCAGACCCAGGGTCTCTCTCAGGCCCCTTCTCCAGAGTTCATAGGATCGTAGGAAAGGATGGTCAGAAGGGACCTCATGAATTCATCCCAAATTGGCTGTGCTGGTCCTGGGGGCCTCTAGGTCTCTACAGGAAAAACTTATAGGTCATGAGGCCAAATCAGAGGAAGATGAGAACAGTACCCATCCTCCCATCCATCAGTAGCCAGAGACCTTCCTGGGGGTATAGCTCAGCCAGATCTTATCATTAAATCCACAGTTCCTAACCACAGTTCCTTCATTCGCCCTTGGCTCTGCTTATCCCTGCAGGAAAGAGGGGGTGTCTGGGCAAGAGCCTGGCCCTCATGGAGCTCTTCCTGATGCTGACCACCATCCTGCAGCGCTTCACCCTGAAATCGCCAATACCCGCGCAGGAAATCGACCTCACCCCCACAGAAAGTGGCATTGCGATTGTACCTCCCAGATTTGAACTCTGTGCCCTGCCGCGGGAGGAAGCGCTGTAGGACACAGCCTAGGACAGCATGGACAGGACAAAGGACATCCTGACCCTAAGGCAGCACATGGACACGTGTCACAGAGGAAGACTTCACACAAGTCCTTACCTTTAGGAATTGCTTCTGCCCCTTTTGGGCTGTTGTACTCAGGGTGTTTGCCTTGCTTCTTTTTATGTCTCTATATCGCAGAAATAGCAGCGAGCATGTGGTGGTGGAAGACAGAGAGCCTGGGGCATGAATGTGCTTCCTCTTTGGACTGAACACAGGGCTTGTGGCAGGACTCCCGGGTTCTGTTTCCAGCCCTGCATGCATGTCCTAGTCGGCGGAGAGGAGGACCTGGGATCCAGGGTCCGTGGCTGCAGGAGGGAGCGTGCTTTGCTGGTTGGAGCAGGGCACAGGAATTGCTGGGGGGGGTTGCTGCTAGGAACAACCGCTTGGGCTTTCACCTCTGCTAGGATGCGTCTCTTCCTTAAGCTTCCCAGCAACTGCTGACAATAAAACTTTTCCAAAGCAGCCATGCATTCTCTTTGTGTTTGGAGAATGGCTGGGGACAGCAGGGGCTAATTCTCCAAAGTGCTGGGTTTAGCCCCAGCTCAGGGGTTTCTCTTGCCAAGCAGAGCACGGCAGCACTGGGTCTTCTCAACTGCCTGCAAGGCTGGCGTGTAAACCGTGCCAAGTAAATATAACACGTAATCACTTCGGTTTTGAGTTTTGCTCCATTGACCGGGGAGCCAACTGAAGGTGTTCGGTCACTGCTTCGATGACATTAGTTGTGGACCCAGGAATTCAAAAATTCAGAAATTCAAGAAGTCAAGAGACCACTTAAAAGAGTGGGCCACAAGAAGGCTTTCACCATTCACCCCAAAAGGGAAAGATGGGAAAGACAGTAGCCCACCAGAATTCCTGCGCCATCTTGGCCCACTGGCAAAACAATGGCTTTTGGCTCTCTTTTCAACTGTGATGGAGAACAGCCATACGCCACAAATCAGGCGTGAGGCAAAACCAGGAAAGCTGGTACATGACCCTGGGAGCTACAGGCCTGCACAACCTAAAAGCTCCGGGAGCAGCTCATCCTTCTAAGAATTAGCATTATCATCAACCTACTACTCCCCCAAGAACAGGCTGGATTTAGACCCCATCGTAGCTACTGTGAACTCCACGATGTCGCCATCCTGCTTGCCATCATTACAAACATCAGGGCTGGCTTTCACTGCAAGCTCAAGACCAGGGCTGCCTTCACAGCTCTTTCCTCGCCCTATGATACTGTGTGGAAACACGGACTGCTGCTTAACTGCTGTCCCTGCTGCTGCCATGGGCCCAAGTGCTCTGGCTGCTGTGGACTTTGATGCGCAGCAGAAGGATGCAGGTCTACTCACGAGATAAGGCCAGCACGCCAAGAATACTCAACAACGGCCTCCCATAAGGTAGCGTTCTGGCACCGACACTTGTTAATCTGCCGTACGTCTGCAGATTGGAAGGGCTTTGGGGCAGTGACTGGCTATTACTGTGTCTGCACTGCAAATGAGCACAATGGTCACTGGGGTACCAGGAGTCAGCCAGCCCCCTTCAGATAGCAAATCCAGCTGGGAAGGTGTCGGCTTCTCTAGGAAGAACTGGAAGGTCTAGAGGAGACAGGCAACAAAAAAGACTTGGTCATTAGCAGCTAGAGGTCGACAGGTGCTGGACTTATGAAGAACCATCCATGCCTGATGGTAACCATGGCTTTGCAGCCTTGAGGGAAGGCCTGGTGGGCCATGCAGAGGGGTTCAGAATAGACTCAGGGCCCTTTGCTGGAATCGGGTGCCAGTTACGTTGCCAACAACCAGACCACAGGACAGGCTGTACTGGTTTACATGAGTGCCAATGTGTGGATGGAGAAGCCAAGGTGCCTGTGGCGTGAGAAATGATGCACTTCTTCCTGCCAACCCAGGAGATAGCAATGTCATCACCTGAGGGTTTGAGTAGCCAAGCCCCCGATGACATCTCGATTCTGGGTGGCTTCCTGCCCCACAGGTTAGTGGTTCTCAAACATTTTTTGTACTAGGACCCATTTGTAAACCGATGGCCAGTAAATACTACAAGTAGAAAACAGCCTCCTGGCCCTGCTCCCAGCAAACAGCCCCCAACCCCACAGCCTTGCTGGTGCCCCTCACTACTGACCTGCTGCTTCCCATCCCCAGACCCCACACCCCCAGTATGTGAGGCAGGGGATGGGTGTGTGGGGCAAGGGGTCTGGGGGCCATGCCTCCCCTCCCCCCCAATTTGTACATCCACAGTGGGCATGGGACTGCAGCCTGCATGGATTCAGGGCATGGGACTGCAGTCCTGCAGGCAGGACTCAGCATGGGAGGGCAGAGTGGGGCAGTAAGAGTCATTGCTGCCACTGCTGCCAGAAGCCCCTGCCAGCCATGCCGCCAGCAGCGTGAGAAGTAATGGACAGCCTGCAATGGGAAATCTACCATTTGGCACGTCTTTCTCCTTTAAAGAGGAATCCATTTTTAAAGTTTGTTCATGACCCTTTCATATATTCTTGCAAACTGCTTTTGGGTTGCGACCCACCGGTTGAGAAACGCTGCCATAGAGAGCACCTATGCACTCAAGTAGTGAGTAAATCAGCCGCCTCTTGGCTTCCCGGCTAACAAAAAGCCAAGGAAGGTTCAGGATTTGGCTCCACGTTCCCAGTCATGGCAATGCAGGTCTACGGAGCTAACATGTGGGTCATGCCACAGGCCAGGGATTTTTTGGTCCTAAGCCAGAGCGTAGAGCCTGACACGAGAAGTCTTTGCGTAAACAAGAAGCAGAGGCAGGCAGAAGCATTTCAGGAAGCCTCTGATCTCAGACATGATCAATCCACTCAGGTGGATCTGCAAGTGCCTTGGTGCTGGACTAGCCAACTCCCCCGCTGACTGCCTGGTGCTGCACATACAAGCCCCAAGCGGATCAAACCAGACACCTCTTAGCATTGCTCTTAGTCTCCCAATGGTTTAGCACAGTGGAGCTTGGAGTCACAGCGACCTTCCTCCTGGCAGCCTGCGCTGCCTGCCTGATGATCTTCTGGGAGCGGAGATGGAGGCAACGACCAGGCAAGCTCCCCCCTGGGCCAACACTCCTGCAGACCCTAGGCTATGGGCTGCGGCTGAAGCAGCGTGGGCTGAACAAGTTGCTGATGTAAGTGAGTCAGGTTTCCTCGCCTGGGTCCTGGTTTCATTAGGAGTCCTTCCAGTTCCTGCCCTGGGCTCTTAGTCATTCCTGCATCAACCCACACAGCTCTCTGCGGAGCTGGGTCAAGAATTTGGTCTCAATTTCAAGGAGGAAAAGAGCGGGGCGAAGGTGGAGGGGGCGGCACTCATGCCTGGGTTGCCACATAGTCTGCCCCCCAAGGCCTTACCACGGGACCACTGCCTCTTTCCCAGCTGGATCTGGAACCCAGGAGTCCTGACTCATTTGTCTTTGCTTTAACTACTAGACTCTTCTCCCCCTGCAGCCAGCAACAGAGCCCGGGAGTCCAAACTCCCAGCCCGGGACACCCACCCTTCACCGGGGCGGTAGGGGCTTTCCTGTAAAAGCCAATTCTGCTCCATCTAGAAGGGACCTACAACGAGGCCTAGTTCCAAGCCCTTACTAGACCTGTATGGCGCTCCACATGCTTCAAGAGCTCTTCAAATTGCTCAACCCTAAGAATTCCCTCGATGACAGCTCTTTGGACCGCATGCCACTGACACCGAGACAATGGATGTGGAAGCCGTGAGTAGGTTCCTGCCTGACTTGGGGCCAGTAATAAGAGCCACAAATATTACATTCAGCCTTTCAGCATTCCCAGAGCAGGTTGGAATATGGGTGGGGGTGGAAAGCCAAAGCCATTATTTCTCCCCTAAAAATATTTGCTTAATTTGGGCTGAAATCTCGTTGTAAGCTCTGTGCTCTTGTCTGAATTCCTAGTTCTGCTCTTTTATCCCCAACCACCTCCTCCTCTGACATCTGGGAATGGCACCCAGCTCAGAACTTGATCTAGGCCAGAGACCCCACCACCTCGGCTGGAAATCCCTGGGAATGTGGGCATATCTGCAGGGTCAGCTCCCAGGGCGGCTCATGCATTTTACACCAGGCAGCCATGGGCTAGAGACAGATACAGCCCTGCTGGCAGGGACCCAGAGCCAGGACTCTCCAACTGCCTAGGAATATACTCATCTCACTGGGCTACAGAGATGTGCAAGGAACCAGCTCTGTGACATGGCCGGGTCAGAGACCTCATCTCCTCGAGAGCTGTAGGTCCAGAGGGCGGGTGCTGGAGCCCCATGGAGAGGTGGCAACCTAGACTCTCCCTGCTCCTTGCACTGCCTACTGGCTAGCTCTAGGCAGCCCCCAGCTCAGTGCCCAACCCCATGGGTTGCTCTTTCATGGCACCCAGCTCCCCTCCTTCTCTCTCAGAGCTAAACCTGGCAGTCCAGATCACACTGCGGGGCAGAAAGCCAGATGTTTGAGCCTCCCAGTGGCAGATTGGAGCCTCTTGTGAAAGCCATTCAGATCAGACAGGGAAGGAAGTGACCCAACGATGGCAGGCTGCACTGCAATGGCAAAGTCCACAATCCTTTGTTTTGGCACAGGCTTAGGTGGGTACGTGGCCAGTTGCAGCCAGGCTCATTCGTGATGTGCCCTGCAGCTAAACTAGGCCTTTATCACATGCCACAGAGATAGCTTTCCAGGTGCACGTTAATTATCTGATAATGGGGAGGTTCCATCATTAGGGAGGATTATGCTTTATATTTCAGGGAGGCTGGAGCTGGTGCTGCATTGCAAAACCTGCACAGAGAACAGTTATCCATGGAGAGCAATGGTGGGGGTTAGATGGGGGTGGGACTCAGAGGCGCTGGATTTCACCCCCAGCTCTGCCCGAGATGCCCTGGGCAGGCCTGGACTGGGCACTGGAAAAAAACAAAAAAAATCACCCATGATTAAGACGGCTTTGCCTTAAGCCTGCAGATGAGAAGGGGCTTGGGGCAGAGATAGTCTTTTACTGTGGGTCGGTGCTGCATTTAACACAATGGGACAGGGCTACAGAGAACCCGAGTGCCAGAGAGGGTGTGAACACAGAGAGAGGGACAGAACAATGTCCGTGACATCGGCGAGGCTTGGGGCGTGGTATTGGGGTGGTAGGAGCCACGCATAGCCCGTAAGGCTAGGGTGCCCCTGAAGCACCCATTGTAGAGCGGGACCCACGAAGAGTCTGGAAAATCCGCGGGGTCTGAGTATCCGGCAAGACATGATCGAGAGGGCATAAAAGGCAGCCTCCCTAATATATTGGAACATCAAAGACGTGGCGGGCGAGAATTTGAGGGGGCCCTTGGGCCAACTTGGCACGGGAAAGGGGCCTTGAGAAGATCACGGCCCTCCCGCAGGACCCCGCCGTGACACTTGGGCTTACCAGAAAACATTAAGTGGGTTTCAACACCCACTTCAATTACTAAATTTGGGCCAGGTTTGGAGATGGTGACAGATTTGAATAACTTTTCTTACTTGTTCAAACAAATGGCAGTCGGTATCCTGGGAGAGGGAGCCCCAGCTGAAAAGGAAGACGCTTCCTCAAATCCACTTGATTTCTAATTCAGAAGGGCATCACTCAGTACCCACTTCGTTCTTTAAATGATGGTTCCTTGTACTGGACATCATGTGACTTAGTGCCCCACACACTTCCCTCCATCTAGGTGTTGTCATAGCTAATGGGGAACAGTGAAAGCAGCTCTGGCGTTTCTCCATCTTAACCCTGAGGAACTTTGGGATGGGGAAAAAAAGCATTGAGGAGTGGATTGAGGAGGAAGTCCAGCACCTGGCGGAGGAACTCGGGAATGCCAAAGGTTGGTGTCTTGTGTTATGAGAAGAAATGCCTTCCATACCACTGTGCAGGTCTTGTGAACTCCAACTGTTTCTGGTTAATGGACAACAAGTCCCTGAAGGACTAGTTTTCAAAGAGCTCCTTTCCCACCTCAGGGTCTTGAGCAAGACTCAAATCCAGTGGCTTTCATCCTGGAGTCCATAGAGATACCTTGGGCTCTGCAGACTATGTCTAAGGGGTCTGGGAAAGATGACTGCGATCAAAAGTATGTGAGGAGGCACACTTACGATTCAAAGGGGTCCACACCTCCATTCCAAATTCCCAAAGGGTTCTGCAAATGAAAAAGTTTGAAAACCCCTTGTGAGCAAGCAGTATACCTCCACTTAGGAACCATGTCAGCTTACACTGACCTTTGTCTCTACCTCTCAGTCGTCTGCCACACCTTTGATGGAAAGTGGATGTTCAGAAGGATAAATGTTCTTGAGTTGACAGTCCGCTTGGCTCAGTGGCGGTTCTCCTGCAGGGCTCCACCTCCCCTACACTCTGCCCCTTTCCTCTCAAACTGGTCCGTAATCTCCACAGATGCTGAATGAAACCTATCATTAATTTCGTTCTTCCTGCTCTTTAGCTCAGCATCCTGTTCTCCTTCTTCACTGGTTCGGCCACTATACAGTCACTCTCATCAGATCAACCAATAATTATCTCATTGGGCTCCATCACATTTCTTCCCCTGTGGGCCTCTGTCCTATGACCCTGGCCTTCTCCACTGTCCCCTCTTTGGGAATCAAGCTCAGCTTCTTTCTTAACACTAAATCAAACCTTCGGGGAAGGATTTTCTTCTTTTCCTGTGTCCCAGTATTCTTCTCCAGTATAAATTAATTAAACCAAAGAAAGGGCTTCTTAGCTGTGCCCCTTGATCCTCTTTGTTACTTTATAAATCAAAACTCACAAATAAACGCCTCATATTTATTATCCCTCCTCCCAGGCGTGCTCTGCCATGGACTCTGCACCCCTGCTCAGCTCTCCTCACCAGCAGGATGGAATAACTCTTTCCTTTAGTCCAGCTGCTTCAGTTTTCTTCTCGCTCCCCACTTTTCTCGGTAGGCCGGCTCGCTTTCTCCTTCTCCTTCCTTCATTCATCTGGTATACACTAACCATTTACCCACTGACTTCTTCTTTCCCGGGGTCCCTGCTCGGGTTTCTGTGGGGATGACCCTCACAGTTCCTCTCCCCGCTGTTCCACTTTACTTATCTTTTAGGGAGGGACAATACTCAATCAGGCTAGTCCTGGTCCCCGCAGATCCTGAGGGTTCAGTGCACAGAGTTTCTTCTTAGGAGTTCTCTCCTCTTGCAGGCTCTGGTGGTGTTTTCCCATGCCGGGGACTCTTAGTGCAGAGTTCTCTAAACATTTTCCTTTTAAAATTTCCTGCTTCCCACTGCAGACCAATCACGGCCAGTTCCCTAGGGTAGGGCTGGGACCCTGTCCCTGCAACACCATTGCTGTACGTTTTCCCAAGTCCTCAGAGCCCAGCATCTCCCATCACTCCTAGGGGAGTTCTCTACTGGCCTCAAGTGGGCATCCCTGGAAATGCCAGATTCTTCTCAAAATCCAGACCAGCCACCCAGCACTGCTGGGCCCTGTTCCTTAAGTAGCTTCTTACCTGGGTTAGTTCTTTCCAGGAGCTCACATCTCCCTTTCTAAGGGTGCAACTCTGCTGTACTCCCCACAGAACAGGCAGACGTACCCAAGCTTCAGCTCCCTATCTCAGCTGTGCATAGAATGGGGCTCTGTGCCAGCTCGCCACTCACGTATTACCCTCTGGCATGTTTGCAGTCATTGCTAAGGTCCCTATGGAGGCACCCATTGACTACGAGCTGTGTCCAGGCCAACAAATTAAACCTGAGCCTACATACAACTCCAGAAGCTTTGAGGTCACACCTTCACCACAGGCTTTGTTACATCATTAACACTTACCGTTATGTTGTCAGAAGTCTTCACAATTTGATACTCTTAAAATTGGAAGGAAGGTGGTCATTGACCCTGCTGTTTCTCCATCACTGAGTTCTCCCTTTGACCCCAGCCTCATCATCACACATGCAGTATCTAATGACATCTGCTCCATTGTCTTTGGGATCTGCTTTGACTACCAGGACCAGAAGTTCCTGACCTTGATGGGTGCCATCAACAACTTTTTCTCAGATTTAAGCAGCATCTGGAGTTTGGTAGGAGATGTATCCAGAGCACGTGGAGAGTCAGGGGCTCTGCAATATGCTCCAGTCTTTGTCATTGGGATAAAGTTGCTCCATTGAAACCACAATACAGGAAGCCCATAACCCCATCATCAGCTGGGGCTCAGGGGCTTCAACATGCAGAAAGCCCATCATTCCTGTACTGGATATTCCTCTTAGCTACCATGGGACCAGAAGGGAACTGCCACAGTAGCTCCTCAATCCAATGAATGTGGCCTCAAGGCCCCTGCATTGATCCTTCCCAAAATACACAATGCCATTTGGGCACATCAGGGACCTAAGCCCTATCTTCTGGGAACACACAGCACACACGCAACCCCCAGGGCATAACAATGGTTAGAGCAGGAATCCAAGTCAAGACAGCCATCAAGGTTGGAGTTAAGCTTAAGTGGGAGTCAAAAGCAGATGTGTCCAAGGCGGAGATCACACTGTGCATCGAGATGGGGGAGATTGGAAGGGGCTGGGAATTCTGAGAGTCATTTCTGAGCTTGAGGTGAGTGCCATAAATCAAACCGATACGGATGGTGACACTGCCAGTCCCATATAAGAAAGGAGAGGAGGAATTATGAATAAAGCCCTTGAGCTTTCCGCTCCACTGAGCTCTCTTCCTTCTCCTCTTCTGCAGGAAAGGACCTGGGGGTGACAGTGGACAACACGCTGGATGCGAGTCAGCAGTATACCCTTGTTGCCAAGAAGGCTACCGGCATCCTGGGCTGCATTGGTAGGAGCGTTGCCGCAGATCGAGGGCAATGATTCTTCCTCTCTATTCGGCAACTTTTCTGAAAAGTTGTTCACCTAGGTCCTGGTGTTCTCCCTTGATATACTTGTAGGTGACTATCAAGTCACCTCTCAGCCTTCTTTTGCTCGAGCTGAACAGTCCCAGATCCCGAAGTCTCTCCTCATAGGGTTTTCCCCCAGGCCCTTGATCGTGCGGGAGGCCCTTCTCTGCACCCTTTTGAGCTTGTCCACATCCTTCTTGTAGTGCAGTGCCTAGAACTGGATGCAGTACTCCAGCTGTGGCCTCACCGTCGCTGAACAGAGGGGGAGGAGCACCTCTCTGGATCTGCTGGTGACACATCTGCTGACACACCTCAGAGTACTATTTGCCCTGTTGGTGACTTCAACACACTGGTGACTCATATTCACCTTCTGGTCAATTGTCACCCCTAGGTCTCTTTCGGATGCAGTGCCATTCAGTGGACCACCACCCATCATATAGATATGGTGAGGGTTCTTCCTACCCAGATGAAGGACCCAGCACTTGTCTCTGTTGAACCTCATCCAGTTTTGTTCGGCCCATACGACCAGCCTGTCAAGGTCATCCTGAATCCTTGACCTGTCCTCCGATATGCCTGCTTGTCCCCACGGTTTGGTATCATCCGCAAACTTAATCATTGCACTTTTCACTCCCTCGTCCAAGTCATTAATAAAGGTATTAAAAAGTATGGGCCCAAGCACTGATCGCAGGGGTACACCCCTGGAGGCGGCCTTCCAGGATGAGGCCACCCCATCAATTAAGACTCGTTGGGTTCGGCTGCTAAGCCAGTTCCCAACCCACCTCACTGTAGCCTGGTCTAGGCCAGAACTCTCCAACTTAACTGAGAGGATTTCATGGGACACAGTATCAAAGGCTTTGCTGAAATCTAGGTAGATGATGTCCACCTCCTGTCCCATGTTCAAGTGGTTAGTTACCTGACCATAAAAGGACACTAGATTTGTTAGGCATGACCTCACCTCTACAAAGCCATGCTGGGTGCTTCTCAGTAGCCAACCAGATGCGAGCTTGTGGGTGATGTCCTCCTTGACAATTTTTTCAAAGATCTTCCCCAGGACCAAAGTCAGACTGACCGGTCTATAGTTGGCAGGATCATCCCTCTTCCCCTTCTTAAAGATGGGTACCATGTTTGCCTTCGTCCAGTTGTTAGGGACAACTCCTGAGTTCCACGATTCCTCGAACAGCTTCGCCAGAGGCTCAGCTATGAGCTAGGCCAGCTCTTTCAGCACTCTCAGGTGAAGGTCATCTGGACCAGCCAACTTGAAAGTGTCCAACTGATCTAAGAGTATCTTCACCTGTTCTGGACTGGTTTTGAGGACCGCTGTCATTGCCATATTCTCTGTGCCCCTGGTCTGGTGACCAGCTCTTGCCTGATTTCAGGAATACTGATGCAAAGTAATCATTGAGGAGTTCTGCCTTTTTGCCGGGGTCAACTGTGAGCTTCCCCTCCATGTTCCATAGGGGTCCCACAATGGAAACTGATTTTTTCTTGCTCCCTATATACCTATTGAAGGATTTTTTGTTGTCTTTAATTTTGGTCACCAGCTTGACTTCCATGGATGCCTTGGATTTCCTTGTCTCATGTCTGCAGATCTTAGCCATGTGAACATATATGATGATGCCTCAGGGGCATACCAGCCAAGTCTCTCATGACTTCCTAATTTGGGGTTGCTGCTTGCCCGGTACAGTATAAATACACACACAGCCCAGGCAGGTGAGGATGAACTAGGTCAGATCAGACCACTCTTGGCACGGCTCTCGGTCTGCCAGGGTTTTGGCATGATGGAGCTTAGAGATGCAGCGACTCTCCTCCTGGCAGCCTGTACTGCCTGCCTGATGGTCTTCTGGGAGTGGAAACGACGGCAACGAATAAGCAAACTCCCCCCCAGGGCCAACACTTCTCAAACTCCTTGTCTACCAGCTGCAGGACAGGAACAAGGGGATGATTGAAATACTGCAGAAGGTGAGTCATCTCTTCCCCAGAGCCCTTGTTGTCGTACTGGTCTACTTGGGGAGCCATTTCCCTTCACCACCTGCTCCCCAGAGAGGGTGGGCGATGCTATCCAGGAGCTCTAGCAAAGCTCAGCACCTGTGCTAGCACAGACCCCACTACCTTGGGACTATGTGCATACCTGCAGGCTCAGCTCCCAGGACTGCTTATGCAATGGCTTAGAAATAGATGCAGTGCTGACACCTGGGATTGGACCTAGACTACACCCCACCTTTTACTGAAGAATGATCTTCACTGGGCTGTAGTTAAGCTTCTTCTCCAACTTGCTGTCCCCAGGTTGCCCAGGAGGTGGCTCCAGCAGGAAGTGTGGAAAGAGACCCATCATGCAGCCCAACAGGCTGGGCATTAGGGTTGTGGGTAATGGGTTCCTGAAGGCTCAAGGGATCCCAATGCCCTGGTCACCTACTTTGTGCGCAAGAACCCAAACCACAAGGCTTTTGATTGCTGCCAGCACCAACTCTGCTCTGGAGTCGTGGTGCCCTGCAGAGAACCTGCATTATGAGAGGGGGACAGGGACCTCCCCTCCGGGTGCCGAAACAGGTCTGCTGAGTGGTGTGTAAGGGTGGCAATGCGCACACTCCTTGCTCCTCACATTGCTTCCTGCCAAGCTCCAAGCAGCTCCCCAGTCGGCACCCAGCACCACGGGGAGCTCTTGGGTGGCACCCAGCACCCGCCAGCATCCTCAGGGCTCACCTTGGCAGTCGGCATCACATTCTGGGGCAAAGAACTAAATGCTTGGGAGGTCCAAGGCTTGTACAGAAAAGAAATGGACCAGATGACCAAAGGCTGCACTCCACACCACAATCCACTCTCTTTTTCTCAGCACATGCCTGGATGGGTAAATGACCAATTACAGCCAGGCTCTTGCATGATATACCATTCTCCCACCAATCTAGAGCCTCATTAAATGCCATGTAACTACAGGCTGAGGTGCACGGTTATAACCTGCACTGGGAAGGCTTGTTAAGCCAGTTCCATCCTTTCTTGAGTCACCACCTAAATGATGTGTCTGGCATCTGTTACATGGGGCTTTTCACTCCATGCATTTCCCTCCAGACAGCTTATGTTTCCAGTTAAATGTGTGTGTGAAGGCTCTGGTGACCAAGGGCCCAGACCCGTCCAGCTCAGCTCCTCAGTGGTCAATGGGGCCAAAATATTGTGCCTCATCAGATCTTTGGGACAGGTCTACCCCCTCAGTATGTTCACAGCTTACTACCAGGAGCTCCCATATCATGTCTGGGCACTACTGGAACAGTGAGAAGAAATCCCCCTAGCAGTGCTGGATTCTTTGTAGAGCCCAACTGGCCCAGCAGTTCTATGGGGGTATGAACTGATCCAGGATTTCGTGAGCCAACGTCCATCGCTTCTACACAGCATAGCCTCACCATGAGCCACTACCTTATGATGAACATGCCCAGTTCAAGCTATAGTCACACAATCCCTTGCCTGCCTGGGTTGAGTGCACCTTGCTGGTCATGGCTGCATCTGACCCTCATGGCTTCTCAGACATACCAACTCTCAACACAGGTGAAAGAGAAGTACGGCCCCGTTTTCACAGTGAATTTTGGCCCACGGCATTTAGTGTATTTCTGCGACTCCAATTCCATGAGGGAAGCCCTGGTGGACCAAGCAACAGAGTTCAATGGGAGAGCGAGAATGGAGTCACTGGACAGATTCTTCCACGGTCACGGTGAGTGAGAGCAAAGGCTGGGCTCTGATGACTGCCCCAGTTCAAGGTTGACTATAGGTCACGTCACATTTACTTATAGCTCACAGCTTCTATCCTCTACACCACAGCACTGCACTTGGGGCACACTGTTAGTGCATGTTCCACCAGGGCGCAGACGTTATTTCCCATCTAACTGACTTCTTTCATTGCTTGATGTCATCACATGCCCTTTGAAAGCATTGCCATGCACTCTAGGAACAACCCCCAGGGTATTTAGCTTTCCAGACCGCTCTTATTGTTTTTGACCACTCCAAATGTGATGTGCTCCAAAAATGGTGGATAACAGACAAAGAAAATGGAATCCACTTAGTATAGGGCAGGGGTGGGCAAAATGCGGCCCGGGGCTGGATGCAGCTCACCAGGCCATTCTATCCAGCCCACGGGGCCTCTAAAAATTTAGAAAATTAATATTCATCTGCCCTGGGCTGCCTGTCATGCAGCCCTCGATGGCTTGGCAAAACTCAGTAAGCGGCCTTCTGCCCAAAATAATTGCCCGCCCCAGTATAGGGTTATGATGGGACTTTTAGACAGCTCTGTAGTTTGCCAGCCCTCACGGGTTGCCATGAGTGGAAGTGAGCAAGATCCTTCATGTCAGGATTTACCTGGACAGCAACTACCGACAACTCAGAGGCAGCTTGGAATCAGGGAGCAAAGGGGCCACTGGCTTTTCGGGGGGGGCGGGGG